CTGAATATACATCACATTTAATCCTACTTCTCATGAAATCCCAAAAATGAGGACGTAGAAACTCAGTTGCTTCATATGCACAATGATTAAACTTATGACAAGCATCACTATCCACTTATGAACGTGCCCTGAAATCTCTGAGACTGAGCCTCAGAAAGGACACTATTTAAAGTTAGTTAATTATTTTTCAGCTAGACGTTTTCCCTTTCCTGTCAGATTTTGGAGTGGGGGAAGAACACTTTCAAAACTTCCCTGAAGAACGAGCGTGAAGTAAATGGAATATAAAGTGTTGGCAAAGATTGATAGGATTTCAACTACATGTAATTTGCTTTTTGGCATTTAATTTATTTTCTTAATTGTCAAATAAAAGTGATATATTCATGATATATAACAGGATGGCCTGGTGGATGCATATCTTTGTAGAATCAAGCTTATGAATATGTCAATTACATCATATACTTGGTATTTTCTATGTTAAAAACACTTAGAATCTACTCTTTAAGTAATTTTCAAGTAGACATGATTAACTGTAATCACCATAGTAAAATAGATCTCCTGAACTTATTTCTAATTGAAATTGTGCGTCCTTTGACCCTATCTTCACAGTCTCCACCCCAGGCCCCATTCTGACAAGCACTCCTCTACTTTCTGTGAATTTGTTGTTTTGAGAGTCTACATGAGGTTACTAATTTCATAAAGTTTCAGTGGCATTATATGAGGAAATCATCAGAGAAAGCAGAGGAAACGGTATTTAATTAAGATACTTAATATAATCAATCAAATTTACATTTTCCTATTGAGACCTGGGACCAATCAGTGAGGTCTAAGAATGAGGACATTCTGATAAACAGAACCTTTTTGTTACTTTTATCGAGAAAATCCTCTGATATGGTGTATCACTTGTGCTTTATGAAAGAGGAATTTTCTTGCTTCTGAACCACTGCAGAGCTACAACCTTCCTCCTACAACCTTCCTCTTTAGCAAAACAGTTAGTAAACATGTGACTACACACAGAGAAATACCATGAAAGACTGGGCTCAAGGCATCACCCAAATGAGGTAGCCAGAAAACATGCGTTAACACGTGGTATCTCCACGTGCTTAAAATTTGGTAAATAGTCACAGTATAGCTGAGAATGTTTCTTGCTTTGTATTCCATTCTAAAAATAATTTGAATTACATTCTGAACATTAAATTTAAGTCAATGTAGACAGACTCTAAGATGTATCCTTATGATCACAGTTCTTATAATACCTTCACTAAATGGAACATTTAACACGATATACCTTCTTAAATCTACAAAGGAAGCAACTTTTCAAACCTTGAATTTAGACAGAAAGGCAACTGGAAACAAGTGTTCCTAGGGAAGTATATTGACATCTTTATCTTTTAGAACGTAGTGGGCCACCTCTAAATAGTTATGTTTATATCCACAGTCCAGTGCTTCCAGTCTTAATCAGAGAAGCCACTCTGCAATGAATGAAGGGCATGCAAACGTATACAGCTGCTCACAGTGCTGAGAACAAGCAACACCTGAACTGCTCAGCCCCCATTCACCCCAACCCTCTAAGGCTCTGGGACCATCACAGAGGAGGGGCCAGAAAGAACTTAAGAGCCAAAAGACAGGGAGAAGGATGTCTTCTGGCATGATCTCCCAGCAGCTATGGCTGTCAGAAACCAACCTACACAAGACTTGGCCTATCAATGGTCAATCACAGACCAGGAAGGGGCTCACTTGGTCATGTCCCTGCCTGCTGAACTACTGACCACTGATGGATTCTGAGGGAGGGGCAGATGAAGTCTTCACTTGTGTACCCACTGAGAAGCCCACCAGACTCCAATGGATAGTTCCAAATGGTCACATAGATTCAGGTTAAACTCAGTAGGTCTCAAAACAACAGCAAAAAAAGTCTTGAACGTGGGAAAGGGACCTAGAAGGAAGAAGGACTGGTAATGGGGCGGGAGTCAGATTAGAGAAGGGGGGGGGCTTATGTGTGTATGAAATTGTCAAGGAACAAATTCAATAAACGCTATAAAATTTTTAGAGATGTAGTAAGATTCTTAATTTTTTGCCTGTAAGATTCCTTATCCATTCACTAGTTAATAAATTGTGCAATGATCATCATTCTATCATTCCAAAATATTTCATTACTCCCCAAAAGAAATTCTATATCCCTTAGTAGTCACTACACACTGTGTCCTCTTCTCTGCCATGGACTTATGTAATCTGGACATTACATGTAAGTTTATTCATACAATATAGGGCATTTTTGTTCTTATTTCTGTCACAACACACTATTTTCAAGATGTATTCATGCTGTAACATGTATCTGAACTTTATCACCTTTTGTTACCAAATCTTACATAATTAGATAGAAACAGCACATATTCTTCATCAATTCATTAATTAATAACACTTTCTGAGTTGTTTCTTTTCTGGGTATTACAAATAACAGAGTTGTAAGTAAGTTTCTGTGTCAACATCTACTTTAAATTCTCATGGTTAAGAGTAGAATTTGGGAGTCAT